GAAGGGAACTGGGATTGTCATGTAATTCAATCTTGTATCTAATTCAAATAAAAAAAAAAGAAAACAAAAAAAGGCCCCTAATCAACATGCCCAATCACAACAAACTAACTCACCCTAACAGGGGTTACCCTTTTCCCTTTATAAACTGCCATTTGCCTGTGAGCCCCATCTGCCTGCACTTTATCCCGAGGCAGTCCTTTGACCCTCTGGGGAAAATATCTTTTCCCCTTCTCCCTTACCCCTTTACCCCCCTCTCCCTCGTCTTCTGTCCTCTGCCTCTGTCCCTCTGGGGCAAACTATTCTCTTTGGGCTGAGAACTTGTTCTTGATGTGTCCTTTCAGAAAATTCTCCTGAAGGAAGAAAAATTATGGTGTTGAACCACCACCTGGGTAGGAGATTGGTAGTATTCAGAAACCATGTCTGGATCAAAGAACAGGGGCTTGAGGACTCCCTGGCAAGGGCTCAAAAGGGTTTCATAGTGTATAACTTCTCAAGTAGGCACACCAATTTGTTTCTGGGGACTTTTGGACTGCAGAGAAAAGACCTTAAATTTAGAGGAAACTTGTTTGAGAGTAGTAGGAGAGGGGAACATGTGAATTTTGCTGGAGCAGGTTGGGTAGGTGCATTTGCTAGCAAACTCAGGGGCTGGGATGGGGATATGTGTGGCTAGACAAGTAGTGCTTACTGAGTCCATGCCCAACAGGCCCAGTGCAAAGTGCATGCAGTTGTTTTTAGTAGGATGGTATTCAGGAGGTTTGCTGCTCATAGCATTTTGCACTCGTTGTTCCAGCATTTTACAGTCAACGCCACCACGTTTTCGAAGAACACGAATGAGATTTCGGGATTGCTTCAGCCACTGAAGGCCCTCTTTGTGCACAACACCTTCACAAGAATTCACAAGCATTTCTACTTCACTACCACCGGGGTTCTTTCCTGCAAGGGTAGCAGATCCAGTGAAAATCAGAGCCACCATTTTCTCAAACTGAAGTCTCATACCTGGGCTGCCCCTCCCCTTTTCAGAGACCTATGCTTTCTTACCAGTTTTCATCCCAGTGCTGTCCCCTCATGACTGGACAAGTTTGCTTTCGCTCACCCTCAAAGTGTATGATCTCTCCATGGCCGCAGTAAACACCCACGTGGGCCGCGAACTGCTGCACCTTAGCAGACTGCAACTGGAACAGGTAAAGGTCTCCAGGCTGAGGATCGCCTTGGTCTAACTCCACATCCTGGAAGTGCTTCATCAGGAATGCCTCATTGAAGATTGCAAGGGTGCTGTATACCCCTGCCAGGCTCTAAGAGGAGAAATGTCTCAGACTTCAGGTTGTGTGCTCAGGCTTCGTTAGGTCAGACCTGGCTTGGGGTGGGGCCCTAGGCAGGTGGTCTTCATTAATTTACACCTTCCTCCCTGTACTTAGATTCGAGACACCTGAAAACCACAGATTCACCTGTCCTGAGCCACCCTAAGGACCACATACTTCCACCAATTGAGAGTCCCCTGCCACCCACCGTTACCCACTTATCCCCAAACCCTCCACTCTTTTCTCCTCCCTCTCATTGCTCCTGGATCTCCTTCCTTATTCGGCTACAGTCTTGTCCTTCCTACAAGCAATACTGGTTTTGTGGAGTCAGCAGGCACCTGGGTTGAGAGGTGGGCCTGAAGAAACAGGAAAACTTCAGTGAGATCTACACCAGGGTAGATACCTCCCATGTACAATAAACTCAATAGCAAATGTGCATTCACTCACTCCTTGCTACAATTCTCAAGATAGGTACAGTATCCTTATTTTCAGGAGGAAATTGGGGAAATCTCAAATCTTGCTGGAGTACACAAGCTAATCTGTGTTCACCGCATGACCATCATGAGTCCCATGTAGTACAGAAACACCATGGCATTTTTTTCCTATACGAAACTGATAAATCAAGTTTAGTTTCTCATCTTTACTGTGACAGAGGGCTCTGGGAACTTGGAAGGATGATTTCATTGCCCTGGTTATACCTGAGCTTTGGTTGCAGAGAGGGAGGTGGGAGAGAGAAGAGAGAAGAAAAGAGAGGACTATTGGGGTACTGCTAAAGGACCTAGGACTAATGAGTGACCCTTCATCCCAGGACTCTGGGCATCTTGGTGTCCTTGTACCCTTTGTTCATGGGCCATACTAGTATCCACCAAATAAGGAGAGCACTTTATTCCGAGCCCCCCATTCACCCCATACCCACTGGGTCAAGCAGAAGTCACAGCTATGGAAGACAGTGCACTGTCCTGGACTCTGTTGAGACAGCTGGAACCCTGTCTGGGGAGGAAACATGATGAACCAAGCACTTCTCTTCCATTTACCTGAGTTGAGAAGCTCATCTAGGGAAGAGAAAAACCAGTCGTCATCACCAGGTACTTCACCTGATCTCCCTGCTCTGGCTGCCAGTATCTGTTGTGTTGTGTTGATTACAGCTTGAGAGACCTATGTCACCTCTCCATATAGGACATCAAAAAGCCCTTCTCTCTCTACCTCAACTTACTCATCTGTAAACTGGGGACAATAAGGTTGGCCAGCTGGGCATCAGCTGACCACTGTGAATCACTGAGAACTCTTTCGGATAAGGACAATACCAGAGAGCAGGGTTTGTTTATCTGAGGTCTAGTTGGCTCCTGAACTTGCCATTGGCCTCAGCATGCACATTTGAGCACCAAGTGGAGGGCTGGGGAGAATACCTCTTTCTCATTTCAGAGAAGAACAATGGGTCCCAAAGGCTGGTGGTCTCCCTCTAACCCCTGTCTCAGTGATCAAAAGGAATCACTCAATTAGAAAACCCAGACTCTCCTTCAAATTTCTCATGGGGGGGTGGCTGAGAGGCACTTTGTCTGCCATCAGTTTGGCCTTTGCCCTTTCAAACAGGGTTCCAGGCCCATGGCTGATGTTCCACCCATAGTGAACAATAATACTTATGGCCAAAAGCTACATGAAGGCCACAACTAGCCCTATCAATGCCATGTATATCCTACTGTCATTTTTATTTGGAAGAAGGAAAAATGGGGCTTGGGGAGGTTGTTAAGGTTACATCTAAAAAGTGGTAGAACCAGGGTTCAAACTGAGGTGATCTTACTGAACCAGAGTATGGGACTGCCTCTTGAATGCAGGGACCTCTTAAATGGTTCATGGAATCCTACCTCCAGCCCCCATCCCCAGGAGTTATTGATCCCTGTCTTCTTCCTGACTAGAGAAGCAGCTACCCTTGCATTTTGCATTCATTCATTTAGTTACATTAAAAGACAAAAGAGCAACACCCTGGAACCATCAGAAACTTAGAGTCAAGTTTCTCAATTCTATTGCCCAGGGGCTGACAACACTGCCCACCCTGTTGGGGATCCTGGCTTGGAGGCCTGAGCCCTTCCTTCTCTCACCCTGGCTACCAGAAAGAGCAGCGGCTGGGAGTCCCTGTGACTGCCTTTGGAGTCACTGCTCCCAGGCAGGTACCTACAGCTAAAACAAGGTCAGAGTGGAAGCCCACCTCTTCTGACCATCCCTCCCTTTCCAGAGACTCCAGTCACTGTGACCCCACCTGAATCTGAGCCCATAATGTAAGCCACTTACCTTGTAGTGAAGATCCAAGGAATATAAAAATATAAGCCTATAAAGATGAGATTTGACAGTTGCTTTTTTTCCTTATAGCCAGAAGCTTCATCAGTGGTCCAAGGTTAACTAAGCCTTACAACTCCCATGCACCAAGGTTAACCTTTAATAGTTGCTTCTATGGCACTCCCATAGAAGTGCTACTGCCTTTCACTTCAGCTACTGCCTTTATGTGACCTTCCACTCACATTGTCTTGTATATGAAGGGACCAGCTCCCTGCTTTATTTAGCACATGACAGACTGCCAAAAAGATCTGTAGGCCTCTGCAGCACATGTCTGACCTTGCTTGACCTGCCCTGGTCACTTGAAGATCAGATACCCTTTTTGTGGCATGCAACCAATCAGAAATTAGCTGGTGGAGCTGTGCTTTACAACTCTGGGTGTGCTTTACAGACAGGTGCACAACAGTGATATGCAGAGCATAGCAACCACCCTGGGCGGACCTATGTGCCATAGCAACCAGTTGACCAATCAACACAGGGCATGTTGTCCAAGCCTGGAAATGCACCAATCATGAGACTGTTGCATCCCCTAGACAATCCCTTACACTGCCCTATAAGATCCCTGCCTGGTGGCTTCTGAGGGTCTTTCTCCAGCTAATCGCCATAGTGAATGGATGAAAGACCAGATTAATGGGGTTAAAGCTCAGTTAACAACTACAATAAAAAGGCTCTGCTTTTGCATTGAAATGGGTTTCTTCGTGATTTTGGGGTTTCATAATTTGGGCACAACATATCCTTACCAAAAATGGTAAGAATAGCTGTGTCAGGATAGCTTCAGGCTTCTGCAAGTAGCTTAAGCCAACACCCCATAAGAAACTGTAAATCTTAAAATGTAAACATGACTTTGAAGGGCCCAGACCCTCACCCAGACCCTTGCCTTGGCAGCCATGACAGGCTGCAGAAAGGACCCAGCAAGACAAAGGCCCCTGACTCAGAACATGTGCTGAGCTCCTGACCTTGCCCTCCATGTGGCCAAGAGCCAATCAGAAGTTAGCTGGTGGGCTCTGGATGAGCTTACAGATAACAATGGTATGCAGAGCATAGCAACTATCCTGGGAGGTGTTCTAGGCATAGCAATCTTGCTGCAGCTGCAACTGACCTATCAAAACAGGACATGGTTGTCCTAGTCCCGAGGTGCACCAATCCTAAGACTGTTGCTATGCAGTTAGCGGACCCCCAGACACTCCCATTGCTCTACCCCAATATATCCATTGCTCCATCCACTGCAGCTCAAGGTCCCTCCTGCTCCTGCTGTGTCCGATTGATGGAGGACCCCAGTTAATGCCAGTTAACTGTGAGGAACCAGCCTTGGTTAGATCCAAAGTCCTTATTTACACAAGCCTGGCGACCCCTTAGGTTCTGGGACCTGGCCTGAGAAGCAATTAACACCTATTCCTCCCCCCACTTCCTTAGGTTAGTGCTTGAGATAAATACAGGAGATTTCCAGATACCTGCCCTGGCCTGAGAGCAATTAACATTCATTCCTCCCCCCACCTCCTCTTTCTCTGCTTCCCCCTTTTTTCTTTAAAAGCCCCTTGGTTTCAATAAAGTCAGACCTTGACAAAAGAAAAATTGCTTGGTCTTGCTCCTTCTTTCTCGCCCATTATTTTCAGGCTTGATCCACCTCTGACTCACTAATTACCGGAGCCCCGCGGGCCGGGGCAGTTAACTAGTAAAATTAAAGACTCTTTGCTTTTGCATCAGGTTGGGTCTGTTGGTGATTTTGGGGGTTAGAGATTGGGCACAACAGACTCTAAGCTTAATCTCAAGACTGTAAAAAAAAAATTCTTTCTCTCGTGCCTGATGCTTAGTTTTCATTATGAAAAGAGGCTCAAGGGGCTGGAGAGATGGCTCAGAGGTTAAGAGCACTGACTGATCTTTAAGAGGTCCCGAGTTCAACTCCCAGCAACCACATGGTGGCTCACAACCATCCGTTATGAGATCTGGTGCTCTCTTATGGTGTGCAGATATACATGGAAGCAGAATGTTGTATACATAATAAATAAATAAAATCTTTAAAAAAGAAAGAAAGAAAAGAGGCTCAAAACCCTCCCCTACTGCCACAGTATCAGAAGCCTGGACTCTGTCTGTGGCCCCAGTTAGCTGGTGAGCTTTTTTTGCCCCCAAAGTGTCTGGAGTAAAGTTTGCTTCTGGTTCATAGACTCCAGTTTCTGCTCCCCCATCATTTGTGTGTTCAGGACCCACAGTAGTCACCACATTTCACTCCTTGTAAGACGTTTGTCTTCTGTGACCAGAGGAGAGAGGGCAAGTTGGCCATGTATCTGGTAGATAAGAGGGGCTTACCAGGAAGTCTGGGGCCAGATTCTGTGCACCATTGTCCTAGGCAATCTGAATGAGGCAGCAGCACCTCAGTTATGACCCTCAGTGCAGGCATTTTCCTCCCGCCCTGCCACCCCTGCCTATCCTTGCTCCTGACTCACTATTGGCTGTTCATCTCCTTATTAGGACCATCCAGTATTTTAGACAGGCAAATAATCACAGCTTCAGAGTTAAACAAATGCAGCATAAACAAAAGTCACACACCTTAAAATAATGTTCTACCACACTTTATCGTCCCAACTTTCAACATCTGATATCTGATTCCATGACTGCCTGATCTCCTCAGCACCTTTTCCTCACTCTTCACAGGCCTCAGGTGCTCAAGGCTTCATGTCCACCCTGCCTTGGTCAGAGAACAAGAGCTAGCTTTCAATCCCCATGAACTTACTGAGGTTTGCTTTGCACCCTTGCACGTGTATTCTGCTGGTTCAGGTGTAGTGTTCTGTAAGCACACATAGGTCAAGGTGATTGATGCCATCCTTTTTTTTTTTTTTTTTTTTTTTTTTTTTTGACATC